TTACACTGACATACTGGCAATACACACTATCCATTATCAGTACCCAGTAAAAATCTGTGTTATCTGAACGTTGGTATTTTGTAGTGATTATCATGTTGTGAAAGTGCACAAACACAACAGCGATGAGTATAGATAATGGATAGTGTATATTGCCCATTGATGTGACAGGTGAAAACTTCGATTGCGTTGCGGAACCTGAAAATATTAACCTATTTCAAAGATATTTTGCACATTTAATAACGAGGTCCAGTGGCAACTTTTCCGCATTATTGGAAATTGCTATTGGAAATTTAGATTTTTTCACCCCACCCTAATGTGGGCTATTATTAACAAGTCAAACAACTACATACTGACAGCGAACTGCATATGCACGCCTGGCTAAGTAACTCTTTTTCATTGTAAATCACTATAACTACAGCTCGTACTACTATCTAGGTGTATGTAAAAAAGTTATTCTCATTATTTCATGCTGTAACCGCAGGGCTAATACAGTATGCCCTCTATGAATTGCATATGTGATTACTATCTAGATCTATTATTCACATTATATTTATGCTCAAATGTAGGCTAATCGTCACAGGTTGTGCTGCAGGCATGCAGCTGGACAGCTTTTTAAGGGTGAGCTGTATGTCAGGATGGAAAAGACAGACAGAGGCAGCATCAGGGGCCTGCATGTGGAAAGACATTTAAAGCGCTTTTGGTGTTTGAAAAAGTGCTATATAAATGTAGCTTTCATTCATTCATTCATTCATTCATTCATTCATCTCCAGGCCACAAGAAGACATTTTTGTCTTATTCCGAGGATCTGGCATTTCCCTCTACACGTTTCCTCTGATGCATGTGTAGCTGCAGTCAGGTTACTGTGACATCCACTCCGAATTGGTCTGTAGGTCTCAAGTTATAAATCTCCACTGATGACCATTACTTCAGTCTTGCTTACCCACATCTTAAAACTGACTGTAGCTGTTGCTGTACACATCTGTACACATCCTCATGGTCTGCTGTTCTGACCACCCATGTTCAGTGTTTTCTTCTCCACACACCAGGACGCTGCCCCGAGGTGGATGATGCTGGAAGCGAGAGTCCCATGGAAGTGTGACATCGTGGGTGTGGCCTGTGATCTGGCAGCTTACAGAGATTCGTCTGGAGAATTCGCTCACAGTTTATACCCTGTTTTTATTAATGCGGGCTCATTTTTTTCGGGTGTTGACCAGCCAGTCAACCTTGGGCCCCCACAGGTGTTTTTTCTTCTTACTCAGGAGTTTTTGGTTCCTCTCCTCATTTGTCTTGTCTGGCTTTATTTCTTTCCTTGTTCCCCGTTTCATGCACCATTTTGTATAAATGATGTAATAATGTATTGCCACACACTCAAGTGCCTTGAGGCCACTGTGTTGTGAAAGGTGCTTTATAAAAATTAATTGAAGGGAAAATTGAATGGGAATACTGCCATTTCCTCAGTTTACTAAACATCTCCGTGGGTCACGGACCCCAGATTGAGAACCCCTGGTTTACAACGTAAATATTGTTCTTCCTTGGGAGAGGAAATTAATCCAGTGTTTTTAAAAAGGTGTGATCGTGGACCAAAGTCAGAAATTAAAAATGCCCATAAAAACACTATTAAGTTTGTTACTGCAGGCCTTCCGAAATCATTTAACGAAAAACAATTTAATAATTTAATGACTAACCATAAATAAAATGTTACACTCGGCTTAAGAAATCGCAAAAAAAGAAACACCAAACGAGAAGTAACATCCACACAAAACCGAGACGGGGGAGCGGGATGGCTGAAACTGCTCTCCAATTGGCTGATGGGCTTGTCTGAGTGTAGAGGGCGTGGCGACACGTGCGAAGCGTAGCCAATCGCCGTGGAGAAACAGGCGAGCCGTGCTGGGGTCACGGTAGGCGAAAGAGGTGAAGTTAAGGGGGAAATAAATGCAGCCTTTTGTTTGCTGTGCATTTCAGCGATACGATAACATAACTTGCAACTAGTTTAACCACGTTGCAACATCGCGACGCATGGCTGTTTCGGATAAGACAGAAAGGAAATTTATTCGTGTTTTTTAAAGCAGACATAAATATTGGAGTCAGAGGATTTTTTTGTGGTACCACTGGCGTCTCTGATTTTAAACACAGGACTGACTGCTTGTTCAATTCTGGTCGCTAGCAAGCATTTTTATGTATTGTTTTTCAGCACTATCCAGCAGTAAATAGTGGATTTTTTATAACTAGCTATCCTGTCGTTTTCTGGCAGTAGCCAGCTAAACGCGCCGCTGCAACTCTGCAATGGCTGTCATTTTAAAGATAATCCCGCTGTATGTAAACGGTGACCGATTTCTGCTTGTTATCAGACAAGGCTAGACCATTTCGAGGATCAATTTAAGAATAACGAAGCTGATCATCTTAAAGCACACCAGTTAAGTGAATGACATATTGATGTGTTGCGGAATAGCGTCCCGTAAAGCGGCATCGCCCGCTATGTCACTGGCTTTTGTCTGCTAAAGCTAGCGACACAAACGCACGCCTTGCCCTGCCATAACGAAAATGATCCCACTGTGGGCTCAGTGGTTAGGATTTCTGACAGTTGAGCTGGTCTTCCTTACTTTCCGGGATATATGTGTCTGCCTAAAACGTAGCAGCAGTACCGTATCACTGGTTGGCCAGTAGATATGCTGGTGAGTTATACAGACCAGATAAGTTGTCGATGTTTTTCTTGAAACCGACATTTATAATGTCTCTGTTTAAACTGGAAATTCCCAGTTGGAAATTTAGCGTAATGTTTCATACCTACTTTTATATCTAGTTTTAATACCTTCGTTACTCAGCCGTGTTATTACTATGGCAGTAAAGTACTGCAAAGCGCACATTTTTTGGAAACTGCAGTCTGCTATTTGCCCCGGTATTGTTCTTTACTGTGTGTTCCTAGCCTTATTGCCTGTGTACTTTTTCTTTCAGTGATGGCAGGGGATGCAGTGAAAAGATGGGTGATATCAGAGGATGGAAGCCACCTGATTCGAAGAGAAGAGGTGGAGGAAGAGCTCGTTAAAGGTGTGGTGGAGTGGCGGGTCTGCTTGGCATAGCAGTATGGTCACAGTGTCAGTCCAAATGTGTACATGTTCAGTTATCATAACAGGTATACCATTAAAGTCTCATTTTATAAAACCGTGATTCACAACCCGATACAATATAGCTGAACATTTTGTATATTACAGTCACTGTGTGACATTGGTGGATTTATTCTATTTCATACATTAATCAGCATGTCACATTTTTATTTAATTTAGGCTCTGCATGTTGAAATGACTTTATGCTTGCATTATTACACTACGTATGTCCAATTTCTATGTTGTACAATGATCCTGGGAAACACTATTTCGTACTGTACACAATCATGTATAGATGCACAGCACCACATGCTCTGCAAACTGCATCTGGAATGAAATAATGGCTATGATGTTAAAGTATCAAATGCTAACTTTACTTCTTCAGTGTAAATTGAATTCCTTAGAAGCTACAGTCCCGTTAAAACATGTATTCTCTGCTGTCATGCTGCCAAATGATTATCATGGAGAAAAAAAAACAATGTTTGCTTCTTGAATTCCCAAGAAAATTATTCTGTTATCATGAGAAAATGGCATTCTTTTTCTCAACTTCTCTTATTCCATTATCACGAGAAAACAATGTTCATGTTTTTGATCTCAAGAAAATTATTTCATTATCACAAGAAAATCGTATAAAAATAGTGATATTCAGCTTCTGAATTAAATCATTATTATAATTATATGTATTTTCATTTGAATTTAACAAATAAATAATTATATAATTAGATTATTATGTAATAATAATTATAAATAATTATTAAATTATAACATTTCTTACAAACCCATTTCTTACAAACCCTCAGTGATTTAAACAGCAAGGATGATTATGATTGTCTCAGAGAATGCATGCAGCACTAATGCAAAAGCAGCAAATGTAAACTTTATACTGGTTAATAAACATATATTGGATAATCTATAAAAGGAATAATAATTATAATTGCAAAGCTAGCTAAAGTTTTTTTTTTTTTGTATGACAGGATAAAGATTTTTTAGCGAAACTTTAACCCCCTGTGCTATAATGTCCCTACAGAACTGAAAGTAAAAAGCCTGGTCTTAATCTATCTGATTAGCAGTGTAAGAATTGCATGTGCATAAACAACGCATGCTGTATTAATATCACACATCATCCAGCCCAATAATGTACTACATCCATTTTTCAAACTCAGCACACAATACCCCGTCTTGTGTTGTGATGTCATTCGGCACTGGTACCAGTTTTTACACAAGTGGAAAACCAACACAACACCTTGAAGTACGGTACCTGGTGTGTTGGAAAGGCATCCTTAGAGTTGCCTGTTTCTTTCCTCTCAGACATACACAGAAACATCACCATAGCCACTGTTCCTTGTGAAACATCATTAAATTGAGCAATGTTGTCATCTGAACTTTTACCAAACAATTGCACTGTCAAGGTTACTAAGTTCTCTTATGGCACTTTTCCACTGGCATACAGGAACCGAGCTGTACTTGCGCCGTACCACATAGAGACTAGTTACCACATGGTTCTAGCACGCTTGGGTTTTACAGTGCAGATGGGTCAGCTTGGTAAAGGTTTTGCCGAGTTTGGAGAGCGACAGTGATGTACCGCAGAACCAGAGAGGTGCTTATTACTGTTCATACGGTATGCATCATGATTTACTATGTACAATAATAATAATAATGATAATAAAAGTAATAATAAAATAATATATTATTCGTGTGCTAGCACGTCTGTGAAAATGACCATGTTATGCAAACATCAACTCAGTTTGGTCATGCATTCGGCTCTGCTAGAAGCATGGCTGTGTCAGCACAGGTACAGGTCGGGTACGACACGCACACTTTGTAGTGGAAAACTGTCAGTTTGTGGTATAGGTCAGGTACGGCTTGGTCCCTTGTGGCAGTGGAAAAGTGCCATTATATTCATCTCAGTAGTCTAACTGATAAGCAAGTGATATATGCGATCCCAAATATTATGGGATGTTAGTTGCTTAATTAACAGTGTGGAACCATCTGTTCTCATAAGTGCACAAGCATGTCCTGGGTTGGGCCATTAACCAATATGTCTGTGTGTTTCAGATGTAGAAGACCAGCCTCACAAGTTAATGGTGAAAGAAGAGACCTCTGACCATCCTGTTACATCACTATTATCAGCTTCTACCTGCAAAGCACCATCATGCTCTGCCAATAAAAAATATGGTCAGTGTAGGATTTATGCTGTATATGTCTGTAAAAGGTTGACCTCTCTGTGTTGCCTGTGTGTTTTCTTGTGTTTTTCTGGGTGGAGATATAGCCATGGTCCTCTCTCCTGCTTTCCCCTGCAGATGTGCCTTCTGATCTTCCTGTGTCATACCCCTGCTCTTACTGTGACATTTGCTTTACTGCCTCTCACTACTTGGAGAAACACTTCAAGCGTTCACACCGGAAACAATACCTAGAACTGCTGCACGGTCAAGGCATCTCTACCAAAAAACCGCCCCCCTCCCCTGCTGGCCTCTCAGGCCTGTCGTCTTCCCATAAAGTCCCCGTGTCCTCTCCCGGCCACTTCCTTGGTCACTCTGGGTGTCATTCACAAGTCGTGGACCCTGATGGGTCAGCCTGCAGCAAAACTAGTTTGACAACGTCGGATGAACTTATTGATAATAGGCCTCAGACACCTCCTGCCTCCAACTCAGGGTCGTCTTTGATTCCATCCCACTGCTGTTCCAAGACAATAACGAAGACCATTCCTAGCCAAGTGACACCCCCAGACATTGCACAGTCTTCTGGAACTCAGGCTGGGAGGAAAGAGACTGAGAGAAATGCCACGCCATCCGGCATTCACTATAGAGATGCAGAGGAAGGGGAACAGCGGGGGGACGTGGGAGAGGAGCTCTCGCATGAAGAAGGCAGCTCTGTACTTTGTGATTGTGGTCAAAGCTTCCCATCATTGGAGTCCCTCAGCCACCACCAGGACCGAACCCACCGAATCAAGGTGGAGGAGACGACGGAAGGGGAGGAGGGCGAAACCTTGTACTTGTGCACTGAATGTGGCCTCAGCTTCCCCTGCCTGGACCGTCTCCGCCAGCACCAGTCCTTGCACGATTCCCTAGGACATGCGGTCAGAAACGAGGAAAATGAGGAGGACGGGAAGGAGGATGCTGACTCTCCCCGGTCTTTAGCCTTCCGCCAATCGCACTCTTGCCCCAGCTGCCATAAAACATTCAAAACGGCCCGCTATTTGAAAACCCACATGAAGATCCACAGCGGCCAGGTACCCTACCACTGCGACCAGTGCGACAAGCCCTTCACCCAGCTCGGTGACCTAAAGACCCATCAGCGAACGCACACCGGCGAACGGCCTTACCAGTGCTCCCAGTGTGGCAAGTGTTTCGGGCGCTCGGGGACCCTTAAGAAGCACTGGCGCACTCACACAGGAGAGACCCCTTATGTGTGCACGATGTGTGGGAAGCAGTTTAACCAGCTGGGGGCGCTAAAAACGCACGAGCGCATCCACACTGGCCTGCGGCCTTACTTCTGCTCCCTTTGCTTGCAGCACTTCACCTACTCCTATCAGCTGAAGAGGCATCGCTGTGTACGAAAGGAAACTTTGGACTGAGATCAAGGACGAGCGTCATTGGTGTTTTCACTGTATGTCGTCTGTCATGTCGGAGTGCGTCGTCCACATCTGCACAAACGTATGGGTGTAGACAGATTACCCATAATGCAACTGCTGACACTAAGGAACTGGGAGAAGAAACACTGCTGACATGGAGTGGCTGGAAACTGATACACTGCTGACACAGAGATTAGGAACAATGCTGATTTGTGCACTGATGAAAACTGGATGAGAGGAAAGTATTAGACTGGATATGGCAGGATAGCAGCATCATTGCCTAAATACTGACACAGAGAAACAGTTCAGACAAAGAAGGTTCCAATAGTAATACATCTGGAGAATTATTAATGATGACTTTCTTCAATGTGGTAATAGGATATTTATGTTTTCACAAAATTATGGTCAAAGTTTTTATTTTTTTTTAATGAAGATCAGCAGGACCAGAGAGTGTAATTCCACTAATCATTCTTTGTCAGCATCCTATCAGTCTAGTTCAGTGATTCAAGACCCACTTGCCAGATATCCCCCTCCCCCTGAGAATCGGCATTCTTGGTTTAGTCCACCTCCTCTGTGCCCAGGCCAGGAGGCAATCGAGACTTTTATAATCAGCTGACAAGTGAAGTTAGGTGTGTTCCTGGTGGAAGACGAGAAACATAGGCTAGCTAGGCGGCTGTGGATCGGGGGAGACCCACTGGATTAAAGGAGCAGAGGTGCTAAACACAAAAGAACATTCTGGCATATTAGTATACATGTATGTGTAAAAGTCAGCCTGCCATCCAGTCAGACCAGCTTGCTGTTCTCAACCTTGGAGGTTTATGGAGAAATACAGCATATTCCTCTCAAAACTACAAAGTATTGTGTGTTAAACATTCACAGTCTCTTCCCACTTTTGTGTAGCTCCTATGAATAGCTCACTTCCCTTTTTATCAAGACCCATTTGACACAATGTTCCTTTTTTGTAGAGTTTGCACTAAGCCAGGATTTTTTTTACAGTGAAATGCAGTTTCAGATGGATTATAAACATACAGCAGACATTAACGCATAGTGGTGAACCGTACAAATACCTCACTCATGAACTCCTTAGCAAATTGTGTTTATGTATTTGCTTTTCTTCCTGTTTTTCTTTTCCATTAAAAAGTTGTTTTGGTGACTCCCCTGGTGTGTGCGTGTGTGTGTGTGTGTGTGGAATATGCAAGTTCTTCCCAAATTATGGGTTTCCTTCAGGTTCCCTGGGTTCTTCCTACACTCCAAAGAGGCATCTCTGTATTGTCTGTAGTGTGTGGTTGGGTGAGTGAATGTGTATGTTGCCTGTGATGCAGTGGGATCCTGACCCAGATATACCCCTTCAGTGTAACCAGAGGTGGATAGTTCAGATCCAGAAAGTAAAAATCCAGACCAAGATTTTGTTTCAACCAACCAATTGAGTATGCTGTACTGAACTGGTTGGTTGAAACAAAATCTTGGTCTGGATTTGTACTTTCTGTACCTGAACTGTCTACCTCCACATGTAACCTTTGCTGCTTGGGAGAGGCTCCAGGATCCCTGCAGGCCTGCATTTGATAAGTGGATGTCATGGTAAATCTGAAATCATGTACTTATTGATAGCTTTGTTAATATGCATTCGGTTTATATAGTCATTCATACTCAGGGGCGGCCCCAGCACAGGCAGCGCCCTATGGGCGTCACCACAATTCTAGCTGCACCCTACATCACATAGTTGTTTTGAGCTGGAACTGAAGAGGGCTGAAGTACTCCTAGGGGCACCAGCAAGCCAGCTCTACTCTGTTTTAGGAGGTGTGCACCACGCAGAGGTGAAATCAGAGTTTACATATATACTATAGTTTACATATAGACTGTACAAGATGGATGGAAGAATAAAATTTGTATGTGTACTGTGTGGTAGTTCAGTGGGCAGGACTGCAGCCTCACACATGTGGGACCCAGTTCTGGCCCTGGTTCTGTACCTGCTTTGTGGGGTATTTCCTTGCCTTGTCCCCTGTCTATCCTGGAATAGGCTCCAGATTTGCTATTCCTCTGTTATGGTAGACAGAGGGATACATGCTAAAAATGTTTTCGTTATACCATTCATGAACATTTGAATAGTATTAAAATGCTTAATTTAATATAAATATATACAACGTCTTTCTTGCAATATGGGCTTCACATAGAATGTTCTCGCATTGTTTGCATAGATTAATGCCCAGGGAGATGTTGTCTTGGTAGCGTTTCCACCCTGGGACTGAGAGACAGCAACAGGCACATTGGTGACGGTGACTGCAGGGTTCCAGGAAGCAGGCGTAGACTCAGGTGCTGAGCGGCACAGAGAGCAGGAGATCACGCAGCTAAAGACGAAGGAGGAGAACCGTGAGTACGGCTATAACCGGAGTGTTAATGAGGAAAATGGGTGAAATGTTGTAACAGAGCTTCGTAACTGTAGAGGGAGGGGTGATAAAAATCAAAGGTGAAAAAACAAAGCAGAGATGTAGATGAACTGAGGAACTTGGCTGCAATTTCACCAAAATACAGACAATTAGATTAAGGAAAATAGGTGGTTATCTTCAAAGAAAGTGCACTTTCAATGTTCATGCTGCTTGATAGATATTAATTGCTGAAAGAGTGTGAAATAAGATTAAAATATATTGAGAAAAATGTTCTAGGGCTCAGCAGGTGCTTCTTAAGGTTTACCTGGACAATAAAGGGCCTTTTTATGGCAAACGGTTGCAGCACATAGATACATCATTTCTTATTTGAAAAAAAATGTTATACTGAAGATTTGCTGCTTTGATCCTTATTTGGGAGATTCGGTATGAATCAGAGATTTGGCAGGTTGACTTCATTAGACCAGAGCTTTTGCAGTACAGGAAATAAGCTCAGCTTAATAGCAGAGGCAGGAACTACTGAGGAGTGAAGCTCAGAAGCAGCTGTGTCTGCTCCCCTGTGCTGCTCCCCTGTGTCTGCTCCCCTGTGCTGCTCCCCTGTGGCTGTTCCCCTGTGTCGCTCCCCTGTGGCTGTTCCCCTGTGTCTGCTCCCCTGTGTCTGCTCCCCTGTGCCTGCTCCCCTGTGGCTGTTCCCCTGTGTCTGCTCCCCTGTGGCTGCTCCCCTGTGTCTGCTCCCCTGTGCTGCGCCCTGCTTTCTCACTCGCGTGACTGACTTCATGTCCCATGCCGTCGAGGGCGTCACTCTCTTTATAACAGTTGGGTGACGGGGGAGCATCGCTGTTAAATATCGGCCTCGATGACAGATACAAAGACGGCCATTGATGCTTGTGTTTTTAATCCGTCCCTGTTTAGTAATTAGGAAGCAGTCGTACTGTCACTGTTGTTTTCCATAAAGAGTATGCGTTTCTGGACTGATTTGTTTACCCCTTTTATCCCCCCCACAATACTCCCACACACATGCAAATGACCGATCTCTTATTCAGCTTTTCATGCTCACAACGTTGGGTGAGATAATCCATGTTAGGGAAGACACTTTGAACTAGGAGAAGATTTACAAACTGCCATTTCAATTAAAATGCCCTGGATTTCACTTGCTGTGTGCTGATTGGCCAGTCTCCTATAATCATGCATGTGTCACTAATGTTAATGTCAAACACCTGGAGTCTTTCAATCAAGGAAACAAACCAGTCAAAGCACAAGAAGAACTGAACTATTCAGCCAAGCACAGAAACCTTTCAGTTTTAAAGTAGTTTGTGGACATGGATTATCTGGTTACAAAGATTTCTATAATAATAAGTTAAAAAATAATTGAAATATAAATCTGTGATACTGCAACTTAAAGCCTCATATTTGTGCACATAAAAAAGTCCATTTATGTAGCAGATGCTATAATCCAAAGCAAATTACACTTCTGAAAGCAGAATTAGCCAGATTTAGGAGCAATTGGGGTTAAGGGCCTTGCTCAAGGTCTCAACAGTGACATCACTCTGTCACTTATGGGATTTGAACCAGCAACCATCCAGTCAAAGGCACAAAGTCCTAATCCACTGAGCCACACTGAGCATGTAATGGGTCTTAACCTGTACCTGTAACTTAATGGACTAAGGATGTTGACAGCCATCACTGGTAATATTCTTGTTTTCTCCCCTTGCTGTACAGTAGGACACAGCAATGGCCTCCCTCCTGGTCCTCAGTGTGTGCTTGGCTGTCCACTCCTGCCTGTCTCAGAGCTCTAGCTCCGGGCAGCTGGACCATGCCCCGGCCCCTCTGGTTCAAGCAGATCCAGGAGCCAGGCCACTGGCCTCCATCCCTGCGGAAGGCCGCTATGAAGAAGAGGAGGAGACGCACATCACACAGGAAAAACACTGTAAGGTGAAACCGCCCATTGAAACGCAGCGACGAGCATAGCTCAGTGACGGTAATAGGAGCAGCCTGCATTTATCGTATAATTCACACATGAGTTAATGTTGATTTTTATTTACTGTATCTAGTACTGGGTAGTATAATTAGGGAAAAGCTGAAAATTACAATAATGTATAATGAAATGTAATGCAGATTCTCAGCCCAGTCTTCCTGGAGCAAAAACATGAACCGTCTGGGGTCCCCGAGGACTGGATTGGGAAACACTAATAGAGTGACATTCACCTCTTACAGAGGGAGACATGGTGGTGACAAAGTAATTATTTGCTTTGTAACATTTAAAATGAAGACAAACCAAGGGATTACTGGCTCACGCATGTTAATGTGGATGTATAATGAGCAATTCTAATCACAGATAAAATATTTCAAAGAATATTAGCTGGACAGTCCATACACTGAGCCCTCTGTGCCCATAAGCCCCATCACTGTACTGAGGCAGTGCCTGACTCACATGGGTATTGCCGAAGCGCACTCACTGGTGTTCCTCTGCTTTTACTGGGCAGATGCTCGCCTGGGTAAAGACAGCAAGCTGGGCATCTTCTTAGCCGCCGCTTTGGGAACCTTAACTCTGATGGCAATGGTCTACTGCATCTACAGCCAGTTCTACAACAAGAACCCGTACTCACACACTCAGCTGCAGGATGACACAGGTATACCAGTATTATATCCTGTACTGGTTGTGTGTGTGTGTGTGATATTTTGGATTATCTATGACTAAAATGTTTGGTCAAATGGAGACAAGCTATTCACACACTAGAAAGCTCACTGCCATCCAGGATATGTGTAAATATCCTAATGATGCTTGACAGTGGGTTATTAGTGTAATTTCAAAACATATATCAGTATTACTAGTAACTTCCATCCATCCATCCATCCTTCCATCCATCTATCCATCCATCCATCTTCCAACCACTTGTCCTTGTCAGGACTGAGTCATGGCTTGGAGTACCTCCCAGGCAGCACAGGGCAAAGGCTGGGCTTCCCCCTGGACGGGATGCCAGTTAAGCGCACTTGCATTTGATGCAATATGAAAACAACAGCAATGTGCTAGCAAATACGGCGTATCATTGGCTCGCTGTTGCATGAGCCGCAGAGCGTCCTCAGAGGATGCAGAAATGTGATATGCGGGCTGCATTGCCGCTGACCCCCCTCTCCTCCTCCCCAGAGATGACGCTTGACCTTGCAGAGTCCTCTGCCTCCTTCTTCCCTGGCTATGCCGTGGCGATGGATAGTGAGAAGGGGATGTGGAGGGCTGGGTACGGCTCCATCTCCCACGCCCCCTCCATCATCGCGCTGCCCACTCCTCAGTCCCATCTGCTGCCAGCGGTTCCCTTCCCCCCCCTCTCCATCTCTCACGCTCCTCCCCTGCAGACCATCTCTGCTCAGGATTTGGAGAAAAGCTTCATCTGACACATGTCATGCAGACACATCTTACAGTCATTAAGCATCCAGCTATATGCAGTAAGACAAACTGCATATTAACAACTTTTGTAACAGCTGAGTGCTAATTGCTATAAATTGTCATACAGAATCAATTGTATACATTATACACACCGTAGTAATGATTTGATACTTTTATATGTGTCCATAGGTTTTAAGAGTGATTATAGGACATGAAATATGTTTAGCAATTACTTTTAATTTCTACAAGAACATACTTCCTATTTACCTGGGTAGATCTGTGTAATCGTATACAGGGTATGAACATGAAACTAATAACTGTAAGAGGATTTCATCAGATGATGCATGTTTCTGTGTTTCTCACCTTAAACTCTTAGTGCTTCTTTTCACA